ATATATATGCTAGTCTCACACAATTAACCTGAGTTGCTCTAAACCCAACATGCAGTGCAGTAAAATGTCATCCAGCTCATTTGATTTAATCTCAAAGCATTAAATAAACCAGAAAATTGCATTTTCTGTAAAAACAAAACAAAAAAAGGGCAGTTTTAAGAGCTGAATTGTTAAAGTTCAAAGAAGCGTAACAGAAACTAATATTAACAAAACAGTAGATTAAAGCAGAAAACAACCAAACCAAAGCTAAAAGCTAAAGCTGACTGCTTCAAAATAAAGCGACGAGACAAGACAGGGATTAAAAAGTTAAAATCCATCAAACGTGTTTTGTTCTTCTCATCACACAGATTTGTATTCTACATTCACAACTTGATTTAGACATTAGCAAAGTCATTTAGTCAGATGTCTGTTGACAGTTTGAATGCTCGCTGCCTCCTGAGCCCGTGCAGAGAAAGTTCAGCTGAACCGCTGAGTCACTGTAAGACAATAATGAGGTCCTGCTGCAGCAGAAGGTTCTGAGTTAATAAGTTGAAAGGAGTCGCCGGAGGCTAATGGTATCTGCATCAATGAGCCGAGCAGTTATTAGCAAAGAAGGCATCAGCCAGGTTGTAAAGTCAGTTTTCTGTGAGGATGTTTTTGCACCTGGAGGAGTAGGAAGCAGCCAGAGAGGTGTTTAAACCGGAAAAATTAGTCAAGTAAAACTAAACCTGTTCTTTACAATCCACTGGTTTTACTGCTTTTCTTCAGGTGTTAACATTGTCTAACAGAAAAATCTCATGTTAGTTATTTAAAAATGTTAATATTCTTCTGTCTCTTTTTGTTTATCTCAATATTTACAACTCTTGTGTTTCTTTCCTCCTTCCTCTCCCCGATAAGATTTCACCTTCGGCCCGAGTTGATTGATTTCCTGCCAAATGTTCAGTCCCGCCTGTCTGCTGGTCTGCTTGTTGTGTCTGTCCTCCTCTCTGTCCGTCCACCTGCCTCCCTTAGTCTCACTTTCTGTCCGTCTCCGTTCCGTCTGCTCCTTCTATTTTTATCCAGTTGTTTTGGTGAGCCATCCCTGGGAGTGAGTCAGTGTCTCTGAGCTCCAGTCCACTTTCATCTACCCCCCGCAGCACACAAACGCTCACGCAGACGCATTCCTCAGATCCCCGTCTAATAACATGGACTTTAATGAAATCATAATCGAGATCAATGAGTTGAGAGGCAAAAAAAAAAAAAAAAACCAAGAAAATAGTGCAGCTTTTAAAAAAGCCAGGGTAAAGAGGCAGAATTTTGAGGCAGCAGAGAGGGTTAAATAACATGAAATTAGCATTCAACAGGGCTTAACGTGTTGCGTCACGGAACATTGTTGTTTAACAATCGCTAAGCAAACTGAGCAGTTTTACAGCCGTCCACTGTTGGTCAGCTCAGCTACAATATCGAATAAATCAACCCTGAAGCTTATCTTTTAAAGAGATTTAGTTGTTTACCAGTGGGTATTGGATGGATGAGTTGTATACTAAGCTGAAAACTGAAAATACAAAAAAATATATTATTATTATAAAAAAAAGTTGAGTATGTCTTCTGGATGAGTTCTTTGTTGAAAAAAACGATTTTCTGTCCTCCAGTAGACTTCTTCAGTCCGAGAAGTTACAGGTAAACTGAGCCTTATAAGCAGTAATTCCACAAGATGGACAAACAAGTTTAATGATGACAATCCAACTGGTTGCTCACATGCAAAAGAGGACCATCAGCCTAACAATTGTTAGGACCCTGATTATTACCTATAGTTCACAGAGAACCATCAGCCTAACAACTGATCGTTAGTGCCCTGGTTATCACCTATTGTTCACTAAGAACCATCAGCCTAACAAGCAATTGTTAGGACCCTGATTATCACCTATTGTTCACTGAGAACCATCAGCCTAACAAACTATGGTTAGGACCCTGATTATCACCTATTATTCAGAGGACCATCAGCCTAACAACTAATATTTAGTGCCCTGATTATCACCTATAGTTCACAGAAGACTATCAGCCTAACAACTGATTGTTACTGCCCGGATTATCCACATTCTTCACCCAGTACTATCAGCCTAACAACCGATTGAGTTCCGACTTCCTTCAACAAATTATTAAAAATGTTTAGTAGTGGCTAAATTACTCATTAAAGAATAGGCAGATATTTTTCATATAAAATCATATAATTAATCTATTTTAGGGGAAAAGTGCAGGTGAGCCTAATTAGCGTAATTATTGCTTGCTGTTGACAGACTAAATTTTGATGATAAGATTTGTTTTGTTACTAAAATACCTCATGATAGTACAATTTGTATGAAGTACTTGTTGGATCTATAAGTGATCAACTGCTGGAAGTAACCTTATTCAAGGTGACTACTGCATTCTACAAAACATTAAATGTTTCTGACAGACGGCTACATTTTCAGTATTTTTATTGTTTCTATTGATTAGAAGAGGTTACATAAATACATAAGCTTGGAAACTGAGTTTGAAATGTTCAGACTGTGACACGAGGCGAAGAGCAAGGCCGCCTCGCAGAATGGGTTCAGTTTTCAGGACAATCTGAAAGAAGCTGTTTCTCTTATGAGAATGTATCCCCTATACACACACACACTCACACACACACACACACACACACCTACCCCCCCAATAAAACATCTGAAGCAAATAGTGAATATTTAATTTAATTCTCACTGCATTTGACTTTAAATGCGAGATCCAAAAGCTTTTTTTTTTTGTTGTTGTTTTCTAATGAAATGCAAAACCCAGAGGTGGGCTGCTGAATATAAGAATGAGTTTCTGAGCGTCATTAATTAAAAACTAAAGATCTGCATGAAAAACTGGGACTAAAGCTCAGAGCAGAACTTTACAGGAGGCTGTTAGACCAAGGGCAACTGGAGTTTGAGTGAGAATCGAGAGAGTTTTGTTTCATTGTTGTCGACACAGAGAGTAAGAGATAAGAGAGGAGGTGAGGTAATCAGATAAGATTTTATTGAAAGGGATTGTGACGAGTCATTTTACATTCAGGATGGGGGTATGAGAGGAAAAATGGATGTGGACAGAAAAAAACAACAACCACAGCTACTGTGGCTGAAGGTTGAAGGGTACAGGAAGGTGGGTGGTGTAAAATTCCAGAAATACAGCCTTTGACTCACCGCAGATGTTGTTTGTGTGTTTTGTTCCAGCACACAGACAGAAATCTGAGAGATACTCGAGGCCTGAGCTAAAAACACAGCCTTTGGCAGATCTGAGAAAACGAAAGATTATAAATATTTATTCTCTGATGCATATGTCTTTAAAACCCAGAGATCAAATCCAGCGTGTTGGTATCAAAAACAGAAGTTTTAAATCTCATCTGCAGCCTCAGTCCTTGTTTCACCTGTTAACACTTTTTTTTCTGACTCTGTTCTGATATCAGGAGCTCGATTCTCCACGCAAACAAGCACCAACATGTTTTTCTAAGATAGGCTTCTTGGTTTGAAACAGATTCTGATGTAATTCTTCTCCTCTTTCTGACGCAGGTGGAGCGAGACGACTGCGGCCCCCACAACGTGACTCTGGGTTACTACGTGACCAGTGGGAAAACCGTCTACGTTTCCTCTCTGGTTGTGGAAGCGCTGAACGTTTACGGGTTCGACAAGCTGCTGTCCGACATCAGGCAGCACACCCCGTTGGTTAAGGCGGTCCTGGTTTCTGTGGGGTCCTGGATGTCTGCCCCGAAGTTTCACCTGCAGCTCAGAACAGGTGAGCATCGTTGAAAAAACTCTAAAACTTGATTTTCTGTTTAAAGTTTCTCTCGTTTTGTTTTTTTTTTTTGCGATCATTCTATTTCTATGGTTTGTTAACGTTAGCATTTTACTCATTTTAGCATTCAGCTATGCTAACTGCTTAGCTGATTGTTAGTTTAGTTAGATAGTTTTGCAGATTATATATATATTAGCTATTGTTTTTGTGCTTGTAGCTTTACAGTATCGCTATTTTCAGTATTAAATACAATTTTTTGAGTTACAGCTTTGCTAATTTTAGCTTTTAGCTATTGTTTTGTGATTTTAACTTTACAGTTTCACTAATTTAGGTATCAAATACAATATTTCTATAGGTACAGTTTTGCTCATTTTAGCTTTTAGCTATTGTTTTGGTGATTTTAGCTTTACAGTTTTGCTAATATAACTATTTGATAAATGGTTTCTTTAGTTACAGTTTTGTTAATTTTAGCTTTTGGCTGTTGTTTTGGTGACTTTAATTTTACTGTTTTGCTAATTTAAGCATGATTTTTAGCTGTTGTCTTGATAAGTTTAGGTACATTTTAGCTGATTCTGCCTTTTACCTACAGATGTGCTAAGCTATTTAATTAGGTTTTTCTAGTTTTAGTTACTTTCAGTTACTGTTCTGATGATTTTAGATTTTAGCTATTGTTTTCCCAATGTTAGCTTTTACCTACTGTGTTCTACTGCTTTACTGGTTTTAGCTTTCCTGCTGTTTTGATAATTTTGGCATTTAGATACATTTATGCTAATTTTAGCTATTAACTATGGTTCTTCTAGTTTTGTTACTGTTCCAATGGTTTTTACATTTTAGCTTTGCTTTCCAAATTGTATTTTTAGCTACTGTTTTTCTGCTCTTTCACTGGCTTTAGCTTTTAGCTAATTGTATTGCTAGTTTAAGCTTTTATTGGTCTGGTTCTGCTAATTTGAAATATTTGCTGCTGTCTTGCTTGTTTGATCATTTAGCTACTGCGGTGTTTGTTTTGGTATTTTTCAATTAATACTCTGCAAAGTGTCTGCAAAATTCTTGCTCATTTTAGCTTTTTGTTTATTTTAGCTTTTTGCTACAGTTCTGCTTGTTTCAGCTTTGCACTGTTCTGCTCATTCTAGCTTGTGTTTTTCTTGTTTTAAACTTTAACAGTTCAGTTTTTAAAACAGCTCAGCATTCACTTTGCATCTTAACAGAAAAGGCTAATTTGTCTTGTTGAATGTTTAGCACAGACTCTCAGCCGAACCTTCCTGATTGCAGATTTTTGTTGCAGAAACTTGACAATGGGTAAAATATGCTGAATGTGAAACAGAGCAGAGAGTGAAAGACAAATCCTCTGAGAGTACAACGAGGGGAGACACGAGGGAGGAGTGGAGCAGAGACAACGTTAGAAAATTCTGATTACATGTCGGCTTCTCTGCTCTCCTCTTTGATATCCTGACTCTCTTCTCTCCGCTGTGATTGTGGAGCCAGAAGAAAATTGGTCCATTTGACTCACTCAGCCTCTTAAACATCTCAGAGCACACAGATTAAAAGTTTGTTTTGTTGGAGGAAGGGAAGGAAAATTACTGCAATTAACAGATTGTTAATGAAAGGATGCAATCGCAGACTTTTCTACAAATTATTTTTAATTCTTTTTGTCTGCTTTTGTTTGGAACAAATTTAAGAGATTTAGCGGTTGTTTGCTAATTTACACGAAGGTGGATGATGATCCCACAGTTGCTACAGAAGTTACACACAAATAGCAATAAAAAGTAACACAAAGAGCCTTTCTTCATCTGTGCTCCTCCTCATCAGTGAGGTTCCGTGTCGTCGCAGCCATCTGGATGTGCATGTTGACGCACGTGGAAACAAAGGATGCTATTGAATAAATCATGTTCTTTAGCTTTAAAACGCTTCCTGCAAAGAAAAGAAGTCAAACAGGAGTGGATTTTCTTGGACGATAACTCCAAACTGCTCAAAGAATTCAACTCAAATTAAAAATTTGAGTCTTGCTCTGGTTTGGCGCAATCTGAGGTCGTAAAAACGATGTTATATCAGGTTCATCAAAGTGTTTTTCAACTACAAACCTTCAAATTTGATAATAAATAGCCTTAATGTTTAATCAAGAACAAATTTCACTGTGTAAAGTTGTGCAGTCATGCTCTCCCTATGTTAGCGTGCAGCTGGAGGTCCTGCAGCACCAACAGAAATCCATCACTGTGATCTTCAGCTCATTAACCATGAATGCATGCACCAATGTGCAGCACAATATTTGCATGAGATTATCATCTGGGTCAGCAGTGTTTGCATCTGCAAAGTGATGGTGACTCAACAACCAGGCTTTGAACTGCGGTCTGCTCCTTGTTTGGATTTGGGTCAGAATATTGGTCCAACTTTCCTGTTGCAGGAACATTTTTAGATTCTTTCAAACACAGGATCAGGATGAAACACCAGAAGAGAATAGAGGGCAGCGCCGGTAGAGGGATGAGACAACATTAATAACATCCTCCATAATCCGCTGATGGACTCAATATTGTTTACCCCAGGCTGCACCTCCCCGGTGCAGGGCTGCTGATCGACAGCTACTCATTTTTTTTGTTGTTCTCAAGCGATAATCCTCTTCCTCTGCCCCGCTTGTTGGGTTTATTATTCACGCAGGCATCCTTCTACAGCTCTGCTTTTACAAATATGCAGGACTGCAGATGCAGCAACATGAAGTTGGTTGTAGTTTTTGAACATCTCACCTCTGGTGCTTCAACATTTAGAGTGAGGTGCTGCCTCCAGTGAAGTGTCTGTGGGTTTTGTTTACCGGTAAAGGAAGAATAAAATATTAGATCTAAAGACGGATCTGCAGAATTGCATACTCTGTTCCAGTTCGTTGTTAGGAGGAAGATGAGCTGCAGGACCGACACCGACGACACAAACTCTGGGTATGAAACAAAAGAACTAAATCTTGGATAGCGGCGATGATCATGAGTGAGACTTTTGGTTTTCTGGGAGAGCACCCCAAGATGCCTCCCTATAAGAAGGTACTAGGAGTATGTCCAACTGAGAGGACACCCCGGGGACGACTCAGGACACATTGGAGAGACTCCTTCTGGCCTAGAGTCCTCAGATGATGAAAGTCATGTTTATGTAGATACTTCCTTATACAGTATCATGGTACATCTTTATACCTCTGCATGTTATGATATAATAATAATCAGTGGTGGGCAGCGCTAATCCAAAAATTAGCTCCGTAATTTCTAAAGCGCTTATGAAAATATTTAGGTCCGCAACCTCAAATGCGCTTATGCCATAAAAAAAAACTAGTGGAAGCTAATTTTAAAGCGTAAGTTCAATTTGACACTTACTAGCTGGCAATAATTCATGTACAAAATATGCACAACACTGCCGACTAGCGAAGTATGAACTCTTTTACAACTTAATCCTACAACTGCTGATTGCTGGGGATGTGAGTTCCTGAAACAGACCTTTAGCTCCTGGTGTAAAAATTAAAATGTTGTTGAGGATTGCTAGCTCGGCTGCTTCTTTGTCTTTTTCTTTTGTTTGTTGTAGGTTTTTCATTAAAGAAGCAACAATAAAGTAATTTTAAAACTGTTAGAAAACTGAAGCAATGCATTCTGGGTACATGACGGATTTGATTTGTGACGGGAAACGAAAGCACGGAGGACAGGAAACTATCTTCCCTTCAAAATAAGAGCTTGGATTTTAAAGTTTTCCATGTAGTTGATCCAGTTGACCACTAGATGTCAGTCTTCATCAGCATAACATCTTTAAATCATTTCTGAGTCTCTAACCCCGTTGCTTCAACCAGTTACATCAAGTATTGAGCTCCAGCGTTTAAACTATTTTTTTTAAAGGAGCTCCGATTGTAAAGTAAAATAAATCAATACATACAACATTTTAGTATGATTACAAACGTTTACTGTTTTTACTGGGACAGGGATTTCTAAACATTGCCTTCCTGCTACGTTAGCAGACACAAAGCATTGCGGGAAATCAGAACCGTGACTGAAAACAACAGTCAACAAGGATGTATACCTTTACAATAAGTGTGTTTATCTGGGAGGGGTGCTGTTGAATAGATCACGTGTGTTGTGATTCATTGACGGCCATACCTTCCGCTGTTCAAGATAATGGCGACTGGTAGATAATTAGTTATTAGTGGTACTGCATTTTAACTTTAGAAAGCGCAAATCTGCTTATGAATTACAAAAATTAGTAAGACCGCTAAAGCGCAAATGGAATATTTAGGTCCGTAATTAGCGGATTTGCGCTTTAGCGGGCTGGTGCCCACCACTGATAATAATAAATGATGGGAATAAATAAAGTGAATTTATTTGCCTTTTTTTTTTTTTCAAAAAGTCTTACTCATCAAAAACAAAAAAATCCACTCAGTATGAGACGTAAAGCTTTAAAGCTCTCCAGCTGCTCAGACCGAATCAATAATGCATGTTTTCTTCCTCTTTTCTTTCATGCCTGACTTCCAGTGCTGAGATTTGTTGGGCCGACAGACAACATCTACTCCTGCAGTTTCATCCAGACGTTGGAGCAGCGGCTGGAGAACGCCTTCGATGAGGCTCAGGATAAAGTTCTGGAGACCTACAACCGGCTCACTGTGGAGGTACCGGAAGGATGGTTGAAAAGTAAAAGCTGATCAGATTTAGAATGCAGCTCCGGCTTCCTGCACCTTCCTTTTCGTAGATTATTTCTCTGTTGTAACAATGCTTCTTGGTAATAAATCTTATTCCTGGGTTGCTGATGACGTCGTATTAACGTCACAAAATGCAGACGGGGACAGGAAGTAAATGCGACCCCGTTTCCTTCTGCTGATTCAACGTCAAAATGCCTAAACCCTGCGCTGTGTACGGTTGTTGCAACCGCTCCAATTGGGAGAAATTTAAAGTTTTTTCATGTGTGTGTCACAAGGGAGTTATTTAAAAAAAACGTACAGGAAAAAGACAACAAAAGTACATCAACAATCAACAACGCAAGCGTGTGCGGCGACCACTTTCTAACAGGATCGTATCCATTAAATCAAATTTTCAGATATTTTATTGAACAGTTACTGGAATTTGGGTTTACAGAAGCTAAATAAATTATTTACAAGTAGATCCAAGCACATAGAAATAACAGGGGTTAACTCATTGTTAGCAATAGCATTGTTATCTTAGGCTAATGACTTTAAACAGCACGAGTCACTGTTCACCCAGACAGAAACAAGTCGACAGACATTTAAAGCTTCTTCTAAATGTTTGACCCAACCTGAAACTAAATAATTGTAGCTGCGAGGCTTTTGAAAGCTTTCATCTGGCTCGTCGTATAATACGAGCTCTGCAGCACCAGATTGTTTATATGTAGATCGCCTTGACTCCGGTAAATCCTCCAGATTATATGACGTCTTTTTTATCTAGACAATATGGATCAGATCCTAAATGTTCACAGGTTTTTTTGCAATATCTTGTCTTAATCCATTGAATCCATTTCGCTGTGTTTTGAACCGGAGCAAATCACTTCCTGTAGCCTTTAACCTGCGACTCAGCAATAGTGTTGGAAAGCCTGTTGGTTTCAGTGCCACATTTGTAAGGAACGTGCATTTGTGGGACGAGCAGTAGAGCTGAGGGTTCTGCACATAAAAAATGTACCAAATCTTCTCTGCAAACCTCTTATTTTGCTGTTATTGACTCTTGTTTTGAGATTCTGAACCCTCAGCTGCTGTCAATCTGATTTATTACCATAATCTACAAAACACTAATTTCCTTACTTTTTGTGTGTTTGCTCTGTAATGACTTATCGCTGTTGCAACCTGTAAACACAAACGTCGAGCAGGTTTAACCTGAAATAAAACACAGCTGACAAGTCACATGATTTATGTTTATGGAAACAAGAAATTTAAAATATCTTTGTTATTATTGCCCGTCGTCAAAAGATGAAATGTGTCTGTTAGCAAAATATCTCATGAACCCCCTCACCGGTCCTTATTGAAACTTGCAGAAAAAAATTAATAACCAGATGTACATCATCAATAACTGATTATCACAGCTGAACAACTTTAGCAAACACACACAAAAAAAAAAACACAAAACGTCTGTCAGTTTTACAAACAATGAGCTAAAATCTGGTATGGGTGGAAAGTGCAGACTCACACAAGGAGCTTGAAGATTTAACTCAAATCTTTTATTTTTAAGCAAAAATAAAAACGCTAACGCGCAAAAAGGACAGATTCAGAATAAATAGAGCGGGGCTGATAAGGAAAGTGGAGACACCTGGTCGAAATGACAACCGGGAACAGGTGAGAGTGGGCGGGGCCGGAGCAAAAACCAGGACAGACAGAGGAACACGGGGGATCTGATAAAATAAAAGCACAAAAAATAAAAACCCATAACTGAACACAAGAATCACAACATGCCCTCCAGTTTACACAAAATCTTATCTGCAGGGTTTCATCCAAACGACTACATTCTGTCATTTCTCAACATCAAATAGTTTCAGACTAAGATCCTGGCATAAAAGATGGCGTTCCAAACGCTTTTATTTTTTTTATATACGTATGTCTTCATCTACACCCGTCAGGAAACTCTCAGGCCATATTTTACAGGCACACACTCATAATCAAAAAGTAGGTCTCAACAAGCAGCCGCAGATATACTGTAGGGTCCATTCATAATTTATCCTCTGAAATATTAACACTCACACAGAACTGTGAGGGGAGTATCTCATATCAACACCCGCTCTGGAGCAACTGGAGTTTTATTATATAGAGGATGAAACTTGTCGGAGTCTCGTTTATGCATTCTTCATGTGAATCTTTGACGTTTGGTGCGATGGCCTCAGATATTTGAATGATTAATTGATGCCGGCTGTTTGTGGCACGGATCGGATTGAGTTCGATGTGTTTGCTCTCAGATCCAGAGCGTGTCCCAGGAGCCGGGCTCGCCCTCCGTTTCTCTGGTGTACGTGGTGAAAAACCAAGAGGCGGTTCTGAACGGGACGATATCCAGCGGGCTCCTCAACCAGCTGACCGCAGAGGTGGTGGGATACTTTTTGTTCTACCCGCCGCTGATCATTGCAGAGCGTAAGTACAGTTTAAGTTCTGCTAACAGGATTTAACTCTGGGTTTGTGTGGTGGGAGATATGCATCCCTTAGACTGTTTAATCCTTTTTATTTTCCTTGTGCTTTTGGCTGAGACAGACTCACAAATATTCAGCTCGGTCTCTTAGCTCCTAAGAAGCAGCGAGTCCACTGCAGGCCGATCCATGATTCATGACTTAGCATATGTTTGACCTGCTTCTCCAGAGAGGGATTTCAGGATTACTGGAGGTGGTGTTAGCGGAGAACACGCTCAGACTACACTTTGAACTTCAGCTGGGATGGAGCTCGTGTTTTAACTGGTACTAATTGCTATTATCAAATAGACTGAAGAAAACTCAGCCAGGATTAGATCAAATTAAGTCCTTTCAGGCTCTAAGGAGAGAATAAAGAATTATTCAAGTTGGTATGCTGGATTGAAAACACCTGCTTTATTACCATAATATATGTAATAGACCTGTGTTATACTTCTTTTTTTGAAATAATGTCAATTAAAGAAAAGAGGAATTGTAAAAAAATAATTTCAGTTAGACTTCTCAGGGTTTAGTGCAGAGGTCTGCAGCCATTACAATCCAAAGAGCCACTTCTGCTCCTTGACTCTAATAAAGTGTGTCTGGAGCCACAATCAACTGGTGGTCTGAGGGCCATTATGTGTTTGTTGAATTGGGGGTCTATGTGGCCATTAGGCATGAAGTTATAAAACTAAAAATATATAGTATATAATTTGAATGTTTATTATTATTTTAGAAAATAGACTATATTATACTTGTAAACGAGGAAAATACTGTTTGTAGTTTATTCCAAATTTAATAAAAACTACAACTGAACTATGCATGCTCATTTCTCTCTCTAATTTTTATTATTATTTTGTCTAGTTTAATAGGTCTTTAAAAGTTACTTTGATAGATTTGAGAGAAAAATCACAGTTTACGGCTGGAAGTTGAGTTAATGAAGTGGCTAACAGGCTACTAGCATGATTTAATTGACACGTTTCACTCTTTGTATCACATATTTGCGAAACAATTGACAGGAAAACTAAAGCTAGCCTTTTCTGTTGTGAGTGTAAAAAACAAAACTGTATTCTCGTTAGTTTTGGCCAAATCTTCCAAGAGCTGCTGCAGAAGCACCAAAGAGCTGCAAGTGGCCCCAGAGCCACAGGTTGCAGACCCCTGATTTAGTGGATATAAAGCAAATCTATATGTCCGTTACTAATAGACACAGTTATTTCTAACACTTGTTGTTTTGACACGTATGTAATGCTCCACAAATATAAGCAGATAATCAGTATTTCACCTTTGCACCGGTGTATCTTGCTGGGATGGTCAACTTCAAGGTTCCGCAGATCTCTGCTTTTATCCCTAATAAAAAACTGACATTACTCATAAATCAGACATTTTTTGGAGGATTTGGGAACCGGTACACTCTTTCCTGCAGAAATCACAAATTATCCTCTGTCTTTAGAAATAGAGAGTTAAAGGTATTTTGTTTATTGCCTTATTACGTAGCGTGCAATTTATTTAAACGTCTCCTGTCATCTTTTATTTATCTAATCTGTATTTGCAAATACGCATAAAGCAGAGATTAATGCTCAGTTTGGGGTGGGATTTCATTTGTTCTTTATATTTATTCTGTATTTCTATGTCATATTTTTATATTGAAAAATAAAATAAAATACTGCAGCCAGTTGGTCACACAGGACCAAAACTGCAGCATCAAACGCCAGGAAGTGTCTGATGTGTCAAATAAATGTGTGATTTTTCAGTTCATTATGAGATAATGAGCTTAGGTTGGAAAAATAACAAGTTAAGTCACTCTGATGATCTGAAGTTTAAATCTTTAAAGGCAGAAAGAAGTCATTTTGTAGTTTTAAGTAATCCGTCTGTAATGTTACCTTTCCAGATGTTAAATTCTTTCATCTCAGCTTTTCAAAGTAAAAGCACCCAGAACCCACAACGAGCTCTGTTTATATTCCACTCCTGCCTCTGACGCCATCTGTGAGGCTGCAAACAGCTGCAGAGCTCCGGTCATCTCAGAGCTCTGGGCGATGTGTCGTCCGTGCACCCCGAACGAGCTAATTTTAGCCCGTTGACATTAGATTAGTATCTGTTTGTGTGTGCACTCAACACCCAGAGGGCTCTAACATCACACTTCACAGGATCACATCCGAACCCACACGAATCTGCCCGCTCTGCAGAAAAAACACACATTTCCTCGTATTTAACCAAGAACGAACAGATCGATGTAAAATGATCACATCAGCCGTCACAGTGATTAGTTCCATTTTGCAGTTTTGTTTCCAGAGCTAGATTTACGTGTTTTGTTCCAAAGTAAACAGTTCAAGTAAAGTTCTGTTTAGTTTTTATGGTTAACAACAACTTCTACTCAGACGCGACATAAAAAAGAAGACAAACTACTGCAGCTTGTTTTCCCCAGTCCTGTCAGACACCATTTTTATTTAAATTTTCTTTAGATAAAGTTGTGTAACACAAATTTAATTAGCTTCCAGAGGGACTGGCATATCTGCTTTTAGCTGGTCTGTATCTGTGGGTGAAAACCTTGATGTTCTTCCAGTGTCTCAAGAAAACTTGTAACATTAAAGTGTAAACAGTTTGGTTTGAAGACAGAGGACATTTTATCTTTTATTTCTTAGAATACCTCTGCTTATTCCACATTTATTTAAACTTTTAATGACCGCAGCTGATTTACCATACTGTAGAGATAGTTTTTTTGTTCGTTTTGGTGTTTTTTTTTAGTCCTTGTTTTCTGATTCCTCAGCCTCACGTACACCTGTGTGCCTCTCACAGCTGCAGCCACTTCATCTCATCAGCCTCGGCCTCGTTTGTTTGTTCGTCTTCGCTCTATTTTTAGACATTAGTCATTATTGGTTTTTACGCCACGTCTGGTCCACCTCGTGTTTCTTGTGCCTCTTCTTATAATTTTCAGGTCCCACATTTTATTTTATTTTTTTTAATCAGTTTTATCTTATGAGCTCCTGGTGTCCAGTTTGGATTCCTGGGTCCAACTAGCCTCTTAATTGTGACTTTTTATAAAAATTAGATTGTTTATCTCCCTGATTCATCAGGAAATGCAAAACTTATCGTTAAATTTCTGGCATTCTTTGAAGAATTTGAGATAATCTTATGTTGAGAAATAACAATTATGCAGAATCTAAAACTGTGCTGTCTTCTACGACCTGTGAGCCCCTGAAAAGTGTTTTGAGAATCCCTCTCAGCTACTACCACACCCAATTTTAGTATAATATCTGTATATTTTATTGAGTTTTAACCTTTTTTGTGTTTGATAAGATCAGCTGGCTGTGGCAGCCATCTTGAACTGTGCTGGCTCCAAAGTTTAATGTAGATTCATTGATTTGTTTCTGCAGATTTCATTAAAAACTGTTCAAAAGTTTTTGAGATGTTTTGGTAACAGACAAATGCACAAAAACATTATTGAATGCCTTTTGCCTTTCAGTGGAGGGGGTTATGTTTTATTAAATGGAAACACTAGCTTAAAAAACCTAACACCTGTTGTTTTTTTCCTCTGTGTAATGTGTCAACAATGTAAAAATGTATGGTGCAGTATGAGGGCCAAAATTAAGACTATTGCGCAACCAGCGGTGCTTCATCCTTGTAGCAGGAGGCTATATCTATTCCATGCTAGTCGCTAGCCTCTTCGTTGCTAATGCCATGTTATCCACGCTAGTCGCTAGCCTCTTCGATGCTAATGCCAGGTTATCCATGCTAGTCGCTAGCCTCTCCATTGCTAACGCCAGTTTATCCATGCTAGTCGCTAGCCTCTCTGTTGCTAATGCCAGCTTATCCATGCTAGTTGCTAGCCTCTCTGTTGCTAGCGCCAGCTTATCCATGCTAGTTTCTTGCCTCTCCGTGGCTAACGCCAGCTTATCCATGCTAGTTTCTTGCCTCTCCATGGCTAACACCAGCTTATCCATGCTAGTTGCTAGCCTCTCCATTGCTAATGCTAGCTTATCCATGCTAGTCACTAGCCTCTCTGACGCTAACACCAGCTTATCCATGCTAGTCACTAGCCTCTCTGATGCTAACGCCAACTCTCCATGCTAGTTTCTAGCCTCTTCGTTGCTAACGCCAGCTTATCCATGCTAGTTGCTAGCCTCTCCGATGCCAACACCAGCTTATCCATGCTAGTCCCTAGCCTCTCCTTTGCTAACACCAGCTTATCCATGCTAGTCGCTAGCCTCTCCGTTGCTAACATAAATGAATAGTCTCCTCCTTGTTTTCCAGCGCCGGCCTCTCAGTTACCAGGTCCAGCTGCTCAGTTAGCGGTGCCGGCCTATCATTAATCAGATCAATAGCTGACTTAGGACTTAGGAATAGATATAGCCTCCTGCTACAAGGATGTAGCAACCGCTGGTTACTCAATAATCTTAATTTTGACCCTCATACCACTCCATGAAAATGAAAACTTGTTGCTTCTTAAATCAGATCTTTTTTTAATGACAAGACTGGAGCAGAAGGTTTCTCCTCCTCTGCCTCCATCTCTGTGATAGAATTACAGAATGAAATCTTTGCAGCAGCAGTAGTCGAGTTGATGAATTAACGCGCCAGATTCATTCTGCTCGTTGAACAGATTTCCCAAAGAGCAGCCGGGGAGCCCGAACCTTCACACTCCAGCGCCGTTTGTCTCAAGCGCTTATGTGAGCTCGATGGGCTTAAAGGTGCTCACGTCCTGCATGGAGACGTCAGGAAGGCAGACGTCTCTGAGTCTGAAGACAGAATATGAAACCTGGAGAATGAGGCTGAAGGGCTGATGATATGTGGATTACTAAATAATAGCTGCAAATCCTTTGCTTTTTAAAAATGACAGGAGCTGCAGTCTTACTGGTAGAAAAAAGTAAAGATAAAAAAACCAAATATTTGGTCTTTTAAAAGGTTTTCCTTGGAGCTTAGTTACTTTTTCCATCTTTTTAAAGAAATGTCTATTTATTTTAGCCACATAACTCTAATTATTCATGTCCTCTCTCTTTTTACTGTCTCCAGCTCTTGAATACCACAACCTGAACACATCAGCAGCAACCAGGAGCTTCTGGGTGATCACAGGTAAGCCCAGCAGTAATCGAATGTTGCATTGATCGGACCAAACAGCAGTTAGTGCAATGCTTTGTGCAAGTTAGCAGAATTGTCCTGGCTCTATATATTTCTTTTAATTGGTCTCGTTACGTGTTTTTATTTTTTTTTTGCTTCTCGGCTGTTTGCACTCTCTTTAGCAGCGCTGTTCCTGGGAAAACCTATTGATGTATAATTCAGAGTGTTCCTACAGGGGTGGAGGGAGAGATCACTGCACATCAAGTCACTGACGGGTGTGAAAGATGCCCTGTGTGTGTGTGTGTGTGTGTGTGTGTGTGTGTGTGTGTGTGTGTGTGTGTGTGTGTGTGTGTGTGTG